GTACGTTAATGATACTCCTCCCCATCCAATAATTGCGTAGTTTAAATGTGGTTCAACCAAACTATGATACAGAATTCGTTTCTGTTTAAAATCTAAATATTGAGCGACTTGCTTGAATCTATATATTAAGAAATCAAATTTTTTTCTCAGATAGTATATATGTTCATCCCACCTCATATGGGGGTCCAAAATAATTCCTAGATATTTAACTTTTTTAGCGGGTTTAATTTGTAAGTCTTGCCCAATTTGTATATTAAATGTAGGAAGTGATGTTGGGCCCAATACCGTGCATTGAGGTACTCCACATAAAATCGTTTGTTCGTTGCTGGTTTAATAATTTAATCTTGTAATTTGACGTCGGTTTTTTAAATAACTTCTAAACAATTTATGAGCTATACCTCTTACGCCAAGATCTTCTAGTGTATCTAATAGTATATTATGATCGACAGTGTCAAATGCTTTTCGAAGATCAATAAAAACTCCTAATGAAGGCATTCCTTCATCTAGACTAGTATAAATATTTCGAGTCAATTCCAGTATAGCATCACTCGTACTTTTGTTGTCTCTAAAGCCGTATTGAAATAGTGACAATAACTCAAACGCTTCGAAAAACTGACTTAATCTCAATTTAATGACTTTTTCAAAAATTTTGGCAAGAGAACTAATTAACGAAATAGGCCTAAAATTTCCCGGTTCCGTTATATCGCCATTCTTGTAAATGGGTATGACTATTGACAGTTTCAACACATCCGGAAAAACTCCTTTTTTAAAAGATTTGTTAATTAGATACACGATTTGGTCTACAATATAAATTAAATATAAGTAGACAGTCAGCAAGTAGAATTTTTTTTGCAGTTTTAATTATTTTATATTCTAAATTAAAATTTTTAATACATTGGCCAGAAAGAGAATGTATACAAAAAAATGTCCCTGTTTTTTAGAAAATTTCAGAAAGAAGGTAACGGTAATTATTGATTGCTTTAAAATATTTACAGAGACACCTTTAAATAAAAATGCAGCAGCACAACATTTTTCTAATTATAAGCACCATAATACTATAAAACTTTTACTAGGTATATCTCCACAAGGAAGCATCATTTTTATTTCCGAAGCATTTACAGGTCGTTGTAGTGACAAATATATAGTGAAAAATTCAAATTTTCTTGACAATTTAATTCCTGGAGATTTAATTTTAGCTAATTTTAGCTTTCTAATCCATGATCAGGTAAGACAGTACTTCGCAGAGGTGCACATACCTGCATTTTTAACAGGGGCTAAACAAATGAGACCTAAAGATGTAGCAGAAACACGTTCATTGGCTAATGTTAGAATACATGTTGAACGTGTAATAAGCCAGTTAAGGCAAAAATATAATATTTTAGGAAATGTTGTGTAATGAAGTCAATTTTCATTACTATATTTCGGCCTATTCCGGATATAAATTTCAATTTTTATTTTATTTTAACTTCATGGGTAGACCCTGTATATCAAATTTTGTTTTATTTAAATTCGCGTATTATACCTGAGTAACGATAGCGCGCGCGATCCGCGCACATCGAGTGGGGAGCTAGCCTGCTTGGGCATAGAGACTCGGATTGAGATTGGATTATTAAAATTCATTCAATTGACTTTACCGATTCGACTAGCTTCTGCTGCTTCTGCTTCGATATACGCCGCTGTAAAATCATCGCCGAGTCCGTAGTTAGGTACACCAAATTTGTTTACGTTTTTTTTTTTCCTATCGTCGGTTCTTGAGCTAAACGTTCGAATACCAGTTTTATTTGACTAAATTATTCCGATTTCGATTTTATTTAATAGAAATAATAATTGACTTTAGATTTTCGTTAAAAATATTTTGATTTACAGATAAATTATTTAGTTTTGATTTTATTTATAAACATTGGAAATTAGTTTTGGTTATTAGGAAGTAGAAATTTTGTTTCTATTTTATTAATTACTTAATTTTTATTGCGACCGTGGATTTTTTAAGTAATAATAAATTTAAATTTAAATTAAATTCCGTATATAGTTAATTACTTAACTTTTACTACGACCGTAAATTTTGTTTCTATTTGTTCACAATCTGGTTTAACTTTTTTTTTATTATTTATGTTTCTTTACTTGGGAATAGAATTAGTTCGAAAATTGAAATAGTATCATTTTTCATGTTGAGTAGACTGGTTTTGGCGAGAAAGCTCACATGGGATTAGATACTATCCCGGTTTTAGATTTTTTTTTTAGATTAACCCCTAGCCGTGATTAAAATATTAGTGTTTTTCTTACGTTTGAGATTGCTGGTTTTGGCGAGTACACTCATCATAGGATAAATACTGACCCGGTTTAATATTTTGTTTTATGTTTGAGTGGGTTGGTTTTGGCGAGTACACTCATCATAGGATTGAATGCTAACCCGGTTTTTGATTATTTTTTTTTGTTACCTCCGCGCCGTGATTAAAATGATAGTATCATTTTTATGTTAAGCGGGCTGGTTTTGGCGAGTACACTTCTCATAGGATTGATACTATCCCGTTTTCTTATCATTTATCTATTCCCTACAGGGATGTTGCAGATGTCCGCATCCGCATCCGCATCCGCATCCGCATATGCGGAACATCTGCATCAGTTTTATTAGTTCCGCATCCGCATCATATCCGCATAATTTTGAAGCGGAGGTGAAGCGGATGCGGATGTGCGAATCGTGGAAAAACAAACAACACCTAAGGCGTAATTTTCTTGCTGACCAATCGCATTGAACAGCGGTGAGCCAGTCTTGACTTGACTACGCGAGTTATGCAACGAGCGTTGAGAACGATTAGTTCGTTATTATAAGTTATGATGATAAGATGGTATGGTAGGCTTGCTAAATTTCGTGTGCATGCGTTAGAACTGCAAATAAAACTTTTATAAATTCGTGTTTATGATGAAAAAATAGTTTTTGTAATACTTATAGTGATTATTGACTTTTTAAAATAAGCTATATAATGGCTCCAGCAACACAGAGTACTATTTGGAAGTATTTTAATCCTAAGGAAAATGAGAGCGCCCAATGTGCTCTCTGTAATAAGATTTATTCAAGGAAAGGACGAACAACTACGTCACTCAAAAATCATTTAAAATCGATGCACCCCGAAGAATATTCTTTGTAATGAGCACCGATGCTGATCAAAAGGCAAAAAAGGAATGCAAAATAAGTAAGTACTTAAATATCTTTATTAGATCATGTTTTTCATTTTAAAATTTTATATTTTGTATTAAAAACAAAACCATACCATTTTTTTTTGTTTGGATTTGTTTAGTTTTTTTTTATGATATATAATTAGACTGGCTCCTAAAAATAAGTTTAAGGTTTCATTTCTCATCTCATTTTAACAGTTTAAACTGTCCATTTTTTATGATTCAAAGACGGTTTTAGTAATGTGAAATGTTTTAGATCACTTTATGATGAAAAAATGTCATCTCTTATTTTGACAGCTTTGATATATTATCAAATTTTCACTCTTTAAAGATGGTTTGAGTACTTAGTAAGATCTCAGAGGGCTTTTCTATGAAAAAACGTAATTTGTCATTTGGAAAATTTTGACATATTGTCGAATTTATAGAAGAGACTGATGCCCAGTTGCAAGAAGGCTTGTTAAATCTTTCAATAACTAATGTTTATTAGACTATACGTAATTTGACATCAATGTGATTAAAGCAGATTACATTCTCAGGCTCTGTCAAAAGTAATAAACTTTGACAGAGCTAGCGAATGTTACCTGTTCTGATGATATCAACGTCAAAATAAGCATAGTCTTCTTCTTCTTCTTTTTGTTTTTTGGCCTCCACCCTTTGGGTATTTAGCCAGCGCAGGTAATTTAGCTTATTATTTTTCGGAAATATTCATTAAAGAACGTCTGGAATTTTCCATCTTCCCATTGAAGAAAAATCCATATTCACTCTTTTCCATTGATTGTATTAATACTTGATACATAGGCTAAACATGTTAAAAGACAACACAACAAAGGTATAAACTTTTCTCGCTCGGGGGCAACTGCCGAGCATCTACACAAACCCAGAAATGTTGCCTCGGATAGATAGAAAAAGCACCCAGGTTAAATAGTTCAGGAATTATTCTGGAATTAACAAGAATATATATATATATATATAAATTTATTTTTTTTTTTTTTTATTATATATTAAATTTTTATTTTAAATGTGTTAATAAATTTCATAATAACTTTAATAACATTTAAATTTAGGTGATTTAAAATACAAGGAAGTGCAGCCTATTTTAATCAATTCTCTATATAAATCAAAATTAAAAGTAATGTTCAAGGGACACTCAAAAAATATATGATGTAGACTTTCAATTTGACCACATTCACAGAATGGGTCATCGCTACACCCAATTTTAAAAAGATGAGCTCGGCAAAGGGTGTGCCCAGTCTTCAACCTAATAATAGTTGTAATATGTCTGCGATCAATGTATGGAAATTTCAAAAACCAAGCTTTATGAGGAAAGTCCCCCTGATTTGGATAATATTTCCCTTTTTCCAAAAAGTACTACTCCAGATAATGTTGTGCGCATTAAATATTCGTTTTTTAAAATAAGGAAAATAATCATGCCTGTCTATTTTAATATCAGCTGGAACATTCAAAACTCTACCTATATTAGCCAGATCATCTGCCTGTTTGTTACCCATTACCCCCATATGACCTGGGATCCATGCTAGAATGAACTCAAACTCAGCCCTACTAGCGTCCAATAATAGTCTTTTGGGTTTTAAGGCATTAAGGTTATTATTCCCATATTTTTTGTGTTCAATCATTCTAATTGCGCTCTGAGAGTCTGAAAAGATTCTGTCTGAAGCATAGTCTAATAAACATTAGCTATTGAGAGATTTAACAAGCCTTCTTGCAACTGGGCGTTGAAGTATAAAAAACATCTCAAATGAAATTAATTTATTTTTCTGGCCGACGTAATAAAGAAGAATATCAACAATTATATTTTTTTTTTTCAGGTGAAATCATATCCACGCCACTTCAAGCTGCAAAAAAGCAACTAAGTTTGGAGAAAGTCTTCAACAAGGAGAAGAAATGGGATAAGGCATATCCAAAATCACAAAACATTGATAAGTTAATAGGTAAAATAATAGCATTGCAGGATTTACCATTTAATTTTGTCGAGGGTATCGGCTTTAGAAGACTAATGTTCAAGGTAGCGCCGAAGTACAATTTAAGAGGTCGTAATTTTTTTACTGATTACGTTTGCGAAGATTTATATAACAAAGTGGCTGCGAAAGTCAAATATTTGATCAAAGAACTAGATTTTATGTCGTTTACTACAGATATTTGGACTGACCCAAGTTCTGGGACATCGCTGCTTAGCCTAACATGTCATGGAGTCACTACAGAATTTGAACGAATATCAATAATATTAAAATGTGAGACTTTTGATAATCGCCATACCGGAGACGTAATTGCCAACAAATTTGAATCCATGCTTGCTGAGTGGAACATTTCTAAAAATCAAGTACACTGTATGATCCGTGACGGAGGTTCTAACATGAAAAGAGCCATGGCCCTATCTGGTATTAATGACGTTGATTGCACAGTGCACAAACTCCAGCTTGCAATCAAAGCCGGATTTCAAAACGACGAACACTTACAAAATATTAAGGAAAAATGTAAGAAAATAGCCACACATTTTGGTCATTCCACTATAGCTCAAAAGGCTTTCATTGATATACAAGAACGGCTAAACCAGAAAAAGTTATCCATATTCCAAGATGTACCAACAAGATGGAATAGTACGTTTTATATGTTTGAGAGGTTTCTTATAGTGAAGGATGCCTTAAGTATTTATATTAATGATCATCAAATACCCACTATTTTACCTGAAGAGTGGAAGCAAATGGAATGTTGCGTAAATGTATTAGGATCATTTGAGCAGGCAACACGAGAATTAAGTAGCTCGCACGTTTTGATATCATCTGTGAAACCAATAATTTACATGTTATTTAAAAAAATGGACGAAGAGCTAAATAATGACCAGAATCCGGAAAACATTAAGAAATTTGTAACCAAAATTAAAACTGAAATCAGTTCCAAATTTCAAAACTTGGACAGTCATTTCTTATATACTTTAGCGACTTACTTGGATCCTAGATACAAAGCCAAATTCTTTGAACCCATTATTAAAGATCAAATTGAAAGTGAATTATTGAAAATAGCTACAAGTGACGCAAATATCAATGAGAGTCCATCAAAAAAAATTAAAAAAATATCTATTGATAGCCCTTGCTGCAGTAAGTCATTACAAAGTGAACTAGAAATGATGCTTGACTCCTCCAGCGATGATGAAACTAGTGCTTGTGCTACATCAACTTCAGATTCACTTGTTACTAGACAAATTAAAAACTACTCTCAAGAAAAAAAGTTGCCGATAACTGAAAATCCATTTAACTGGTGGAATATAAACGGTCACAAATACACGACAATTTCAGCAACTGCGCGAACATATCTATCGGCGCCACCAGGTAGTGTACGAAGCGAGCAACTATTTAGTGGAGCAGGGCTAATTTATGAGCCACTACGTAATCGACTTGAAGCTGACAAAGCAGCTAAATTATTATTTTTAAAGTATAACTTACCTTTTTTAAAATTTAGTTATTAGTCAATATACACCTACTTTCAGTTATTTCTAGTATTTTGTTTTATTTAATGTCTTCGTTCGTTAATTTTCCTAATAGTATGTTAGTTTTTTGTTTTTTTTTTTTCAACTTTCGCATCCGCATCCGCATCTGCAGATATGGAACTCAAAAAATCTGCATCCGCATCCGCATCTGCAGATGTTGGAAAATATCACATCCGCAACATCCCTAACTTTTTATACGACCGTGATTTTATTTCTACTTTTACGAAACAAAATATTTAACTTTAATCTTTTTACCGATTTAACAGTTAACTAGCTAACTTTTGCTACGACCGCAATTATTTGCCATTTTTCTTCTTTAACTAAAATAGTAATTTTGTTTTTGATTTCGTTTTGGCTCAACCACCGAACCGACAATTTATTAATTAGTTACCGAACATCTTTCTTTTAATTTTAATTATACCGTCTGATTGAGACTAATCAAAGTTCACTACTGGCCGATCTGTTTGTTTTTCTTTTTGTTCAGGGTTTTAAAAATACGAACGAGGGTGGGCGTTGAAATATTACTTACAAATTATTTATTGTAAATAGTTAAATTCAATATATGTGTCAACGTTACTTTGACTATTACTGAGGTTACTGATCCCTAATTTACTTCCCCCTTTATTTCAGCAGTGAGAAATTCTTTAATACCACAAGTCACGATTAAAGCCCGTTACTTGTGGTTACTTATTACCTGTGTCTGAGTGACCAACGACCCCTGGAATTTTTCATCTCCATCTGTGCTGCCCGAGTACTTTCGACGCCGTTTCGAAAGTTTGTGGAGTAAACCACACACAAAATCTGATGCCCGAGAGCCGTCCCGTCAACAGGCGTCATTTGTAAGTAATCGTTTTCTCTGAGGCGAGAAAACCCCTTACAGTTGTACTGATAAGTATGTTAAAAAAAATAAAAAATAAAGTAACAACAATTGATAAGATTCTTGCAGTATGCTGTGCTTTAGTTAATATATGTCCTTCTGTAATTGAAAGTAATTTATATTCTTCATAAAATTTAAATTGTAAGTAATAAATTTAAATAAAATGTATAACCAGTTTTATTTCAAAAACCTTTAGGAAAATACAAAAATATAAATATTAAATCCTTAATTTTTTTTATTAAAATTAACTGTGCCACACTTTTTACAGTACCAAGATTTTTTCGGTATCGATTTTAATTTAATACAGGTCACGTGGAACCACTTGATTTCACAAAAATAGTTACTGCACATCACCATCTTTCGTCACTCTCTGGCTTTTTACATGTACACTAAAGAGCTTCTTTGTGAACCATTTGCATCTGTACTTGGTAATAATAAGCATGCCTATTGTCTAAGTGCAAACCATATGCATACTAACATTTTTGGAGCCATTTGGTTTTAAAAAAGATCTCTTTAAATTGACGATTTCTTCTATCGTTGTATCTTTCACACAATATGGACACTTGACTTCAATACAACCCTTGTCGCAACAGTCGCAAGATACCATAAGATCAGGACTAGCTCCAAAAATTGGATTATTAGTATCTACAATTAGCCCAACATTCCTTACTTTTAAGTTTCTGTGCTTCGATCTTAAATGAATTGAAACAAAGTTATTCAGTGCTCTTTTTTCGTGTTCACAACCATATACAATATAAATAGACTTGAATTTAATCTTATTAGCATAACATATTCTATTTAACAAACTAACACTGGGCTTTTCAAGTTTAGTATGGCAGACTGATTTAAAATTTGAAGCCGTTATTCTGCCAGCCCTATGTAAAAACCAACTTTTACTTTTGGATTGTTTTCTTGTAATGGTTTGCACCTTATTTATATCAACACTACAATCTATTGTTTTTCCCAGGCTAATTAATTGATTTAAAGACAATTTCACATTTTCTTCCTTATATATATTTGTTAATATTCCCTTTAAAGGTTTTTTATTGTTTGTGTCTTTATCTATCTTATCCGCATAAGGTTGGAACATTGTCAATACTGCACTTTTCCTTTCCAAATCAAATAGAGCATTTAAAAATTGAAATTTGTCATCTTTGGAAGGCTCACTTAGCTCAACGTGATTTTCAGTCTTCTTCCATTGTGTCAAGATTTTCTATAGGATATAATGAATAATCCACCTCAGACACCTTGGCAGGAGTACCAAGGGATGTGCTAGGAAGCATCCAATATGCCTTAGAGTCAGTCACACTGGTGTTCTCATGGTTTCTAACTGCATTTTCAACTTCGAACAGAGTGGCTCCAACATGACTACAAGCCTCTGCAAGACCAGCAACACAATCACAGTGGGCAGAAAAAATTTCACCTTCTTTATGAATTACTATCCACACATTCAATGGAGGTAGATTAAGTCGCTGCGAATACATTACCTAAAACAAAAATAAATTGTTTATACAGAATATCCCAGAATATGTATTGAACATGAAATTAGCAATTCAGAATTGGACATTTTTTTCACCGCTAATTTCTTCACCCATTTACTTAAAAAAAAAATTATATGCATCCAAAGATTTATAAGCACGAAACTCTTTTTCAGTAAAAGCACTTTTTTTGTAAACAAGATAGTCTATAATGTCAAACAACGATGTGTTTAGAAAATCTTGCAGCTTTGTACTACACTGGCTAAATTTTAGAAGATATGGGTCCACTTTATTTGTTAGAATTAATTTTTCTAAATAACGTTCTTTTATTTCCTTTGGAAGAGTATTAAAATAGTTGCTTTTATCCATTTTAAAATACAAAACAAACAAAAATCATAAAAATAAAGAAATCAAAAAACTTGGCAGCACCAAACACGTAAAATAACCCTATTAGGCATTCCAACGACCTGTCAAACAATAGGTACCAGTGGGAAATTCTTGTATATTTAAGGGGGTAGCGACATAGTCTTGCAACTTGGACACTATTTTTATTCGAAGTAGTACTCGCCAAGCCTGCCAATTTATGAAAAAATGTATAGGTGGGTTTTTTAAATATTATTTTTATTGTGTTTGACATAAAATATTTAAATGTAATCCATTATTTATGATTTTACGTAAAGTAGATAAAATACACCATATGTCGCCACCCTTAGATATACCAAACCTGCCCACTGGTAATTCATTTGTTTGGAATGCCTAATTAGGCATTCCAACGACCTGTCAAACAATAGGTGCCAGTGGGAAATTCTTGTATATTTAGTGGGGTAGCGACAGAGTCTTGCAACTTGGACGCTATTTTTATTCGAAGTAGTACTCGCCAAGCCTGCCAATTTATGAAGAAATGTATAGGTGGGTTTTTAAATATTATTTTTATTGTGTTTGACATAAAATATTTAAATGTAATCGATTATTCATGATTTTACGTAAAGTAGATAGAATACATCATATGTCGCCACCCTTAGATATACCAAACCTGCCCACTGGTAATTCATTTGTTTGGAATGCCTAATTGTTTTTCCTCAGGGCGTCTTTCAATGTCATTTGTGACGTCACATGGACTTGCCCTATAAAATGTTACGAGCACTTTAGATTTGGGAGGGAGGGGACGCTTGTCGGGTCGCCGGAAAGTAGTTTACACAACTTGGCAAACAGGCAGGTATAATTCAACATTTGAATTATTTCGCAGAAGTGCATCTAATCGCCATCTATTGACAACTTAGTTAATTTGTAGTTTTTGTTATGAATTTCCTGGCGTGCAAATTCCGTCTTAATACACAACTTAATGCGCTGAGAAAATATGCTCATTTTTAACACTAAGCGAAATAGTTTGGAAAATTATCTGAAATCATTGTTATAGTCCATGCGCAAATGTTGTAATGGGATTTAATTACATTGAAGTAGTTAGGGTTAATAGCAATGGTGAAATTTCGGCACCAAAATATAATTCATTATGTAATAATTAATTATTTATTATAAAAGTAAAAGACGTTTATTATTTTATAAATTACCAATAAAATTTGTTCAATATTTGGTTTATTTATTGTTAAAAATGTAATAAAAGCCCCATATTTAAATTAAATTACCTTTTCTTTAAGTAAAAATAATGTAAATAAAATTAAGGGTACCAAAAAAAAATTTAGGTAACAATTAAAAAGACATTAAGTTTGAGAGTGTAGTGCTTTGTACTACATATTATTTTTTTTTTTTTAAAGAGGGGAAGTATTGTAGTGCTTTGTACTACATATTACTTTTCTCTCTGTCATAATTACGTTGATAGATAAATGTTATAACCTTAAACCAGTCATCTCCACTTTGTCATTTCGACGTTTTATTTTTGTTATGTGAATGGCACTTTAGAATGTTTCGTGGTGGCATGAGACTCAATCCTGTTTCCTGCCAATGTCATAGAATTTCAAAGTTGATGACATTGGAAGTCACATCTGTTTTTGATTTGTGGTGTAGTAGGTGGAAAAACAATGGAGTGTGTGGTGGATAGCTGTGGAAGAAAAAAAAGAAAGAACAACACCAAGAGACAAGAAACATCAACAAATTATTATTTTTATTATTTTTACATTTTTTCGAAGTAACATGTTCTTGACCTTTTTAATAAAAGAATTTTAAAAAAGAAATTTTAATTATATAGTTATTTTGATACAGAGAATACCTATATAATATGAGGTTTAACTAAATATTTGCAATATGCATATATTTTCAAAGCTTTTATATTTAAAAAGTACTTACATATTTTTTAATTTCTGGATTTATATTATAGTAAAAGGACTTTCAAGTTTATTACTCATTTCTGTAGAAACAAGTGTTTTCTCGCAAAGATAAGCCAGATGTCATTTAAGGTTTATGTATTTAGAGTTAAATACCTGGCCTGGCTACCACCCAGACAATAAAAATATGTCCATTGGACGTCTATTCGATATACAATTTTGGATGTCTAGACGTCCAAAAATGAGTTTTTTCTGGACTTCCTACATCCAATGGACGTCCAGTGAAGTATACAAATGGCACACTTTTGACCATTCAGATGACGTCCAATTCTGGAATATGTTTGG